TGTCTCATCTTTCCCCTCAGCAGCAGCATTTTGCCAAGACTTTGGCAGCTGCTATAGAACCATCCTCTCATGATGAGGCAGCCAAAGATCTTCGATGGACAACTTACATGGTTGAAGAACTTAAAGCTTTACTTGATAACAATACATGGGATATTACTGACTTGCCAGGGGGAGTTAAGGCAATAGGCAATAGATGGATTTTTAGAATTAAATACAAGTAAGATGGCACCATAGAAAGATTTAAAGCCCGTCTAGTTGCAAAAGAATACACACAAGTGTATCGAATTGACTATTATGATACATTTTCACCTATTCCCAAACTGACTTCAGTGAAAATGTTGTTATCAATAGCTTCAATTCAAAACTGGCATCTACACCAAATGAATGTCAATAATGCCTTTTTGAATGAGGATTTTGAAGAGGATGTACATATGGAGTTGTCTATGGGATTAAGGGGAAAACCAGAACTTAAAGGGAAGGTTTGTAAGTTGAAGAAATTCTTATATGAATTAAAACAAGCAAGCAGAATGTGGTATGCAAAATTGACAGAAGCACTATTGACAAATGGTTTCAGACAATCATTGTCTGATTATTTTATTTATTTGTTAGAAGTGAATGGACACCTTGTTGTCTTGATTGTGAATGTTGATGATTTGGTAATGGGATCTATGTTTCACAACAAAAATAATGTACCGAGTTGTTGAAAGAAGCAGGATTTGATGAGTGTAAACCAGCTAAGACACCATCCAGCATTAAGCAAGTCCTTTCTGCCAAAGATGGTGATCGCTACTCTAATGTCAGCAACTATAAACATCTATTGGGTCTACTACAGTACCTTACAAGTACTAGACCTGATATTACTTTTGCAGTATACCAGTTATGCTAATTCCAAGACTCTCCTAAACTGTTCATTTCAAAGCTTTGCAGAGAGTATTATAATATCTAAGCAATTCACCAGGACAAGGATTATTTTGCTCAAAGGATTCTGCAGTTCAATTGATTGGTTATAGAGTGATTCGGATTGGGCTACTTGTCCAGACTCAAGATGATCACTAACAGGTTTTTGTGTGTTTTTTGGGACAAATTTGATCAGTTGGAAGACAAAGAAACAAAGCACAATCTCCAGATCATCCTCAGAGGCAGAGTACAGAGCATTGGCTCTTTTGAGTTGTGAGATTCAATGGCTGGTTAGGCTTCTTTCTGATTTTGGGGTAACTCATTCACAACCAGCACAAGTGTATTGTGATAACCAGTCAGTCATACATATTGCTGGGAATGCAGCATTTCACGAACGAACCAAACATATAGAAATTGATTGTCATGTCATTCGAGAGAAGTTTGTTATCGGTTTGCAATTAACCGTAAAAATTTGTCTTATGATGCATCATTTATGTTGCTGAAGTGAAACTTCCCTAGAAATGACAAAGGAGCTTAGTCATGGGATGATGTTCTTGTAGGTGGGAAATGAAAACCAAATCGAGGAGAAGTAAATGAAGTTTTAGGAATGAAATGTCTCTTATTTGATCCACATATACTGAAGTAAGTACATATACCATTGTTGACTGAGGTTGATAAGGTTTTACAGTTTCAAATTCAGAAATTAAGGACCCTTTCAATACTAATCGTACCAGGGCCCCTAATATAACTGATTTGCTATTCGTCGCCCTAAGATTCAAATTTTATCGCCCTAAATTACACTAAATTGACACATTTATCCCTAACCTCCATTTCTAATCTAAATCCTCAACCAACTACCCGTCGCATCTCAACCCAATCCCCCACCCCCATTCGTCACTATTGCTCCTTGTGCAGTCAGACCATTGACTAGCAGGAGACTCCCGGCGGGAGTGAAGCGGAAGGCCCCGCCGGAGTCGACGACAGCGGAGGCGCCGCCTGCTATGCAGATAGGGATTCCGACGTTGTAGTTGACGCCGACGAGAAAAGAGTTGGGTCCGACTTGAGTGATTCCCACATCCCATTGAGCTCGACGGCGGAGAGGGAGGATCCCGGCGAGATTTGCGCCGCCATGAAGGTGATCGAAAGGGAAAGAAGAAATGGGAAGAAGAAGAGAGATTGGAAGTTCATCTTTCCCTCAATCTCTCTGGCTATTTGACTGTTTATTTTTCTGGGTTTTAGAGAGAGAACTAATTGTGAAAACAAATAAATTTTAAAGTTAGATTATAAAACTGAATGGCTATTCATTTTCCCCTCAATATCTCTGGCTTTGTGGCTGTTTATTTTTACTCCGGCGACGGGAAAAGATGTTTTGGTGTGGGTTGTGTCATAAGGTTTGTGTTTGTAAAACAACAAATAAACTAGGGACATTAGGGTAAATTGATTAAGAGTTAGGGCGACGAATAACATTTTTTAGGGCGACGAATAGCAATCCCCTAATATAAATGAGAAATCAAATTACTTCAACTAAACATATAAAGTATCCAAATAAACCTCAAAACTCAAAAGACACTAAAAGTAAAGAACTCACTCTATTAGTTTTTAGGTACATTTTTTTTTCTTTCTTTTACGGACTGGTCCTCCAGATTGTTGAAAGGTTGGTTCCGTATGGCCAACTTGAACAACCAAATTTGTAATAATTATGATATTATCTATTGGGTTTACAACATATTTAGTAAAATATGGTACGTGTAAGTTATGTATAAAATATTTAAGAGTATTTTACTTCATTACTAAACTAATAGTACGTCTAATAGATTAATAGTCATAAAATATATGAAAATAATTATTTTACAAATAAATAGGCATATCTATAATATTCTAAGTATTAATTTAATTCAATAAATACGGATATAGTCTTATACAGGTTTAATACATGTTTAGTATGAGAGCAATCAATTGAACTGGAAATAATGAAACGGTTTTGAAATATACAAAAATGGAAGTTTTAAACGCATAAAATACGTACGTCCAGATACACACGTATTAAACGAAGTATTTGCTAACTATGATTTACACTTTAAGTGATAAATCTATGATATTATCTATTATATTGGAAGCTCGCCCCAAAAATAAATGGGACTTAACAATAAATTCTAACCTTAACAAAGCCTCATAGAAGACACTAATGTAGATAGAATAAGATAGGAGGTCCGGCATTGAGAAGAAATATGTATATATAATTAGGAATAGATATCAAATATAGGAATGGAATAATAATAATGCAGCTTTGTGGGTTACAATTAATAAATGAACTGGAATCAAACCTTCATGACTCATGAGATGATAAATGATCTCCAAAAGGGGGCCTAGTTCCTACGTGAAGCCTGCTTAAATGCTAATATTTTGTGCTTTGAATTTTCCTCCATCTATACGTACAATACCACTTGTTAAGCCCACATGTATAAATTACAAAAAAAAAATTGTGGGAGCATGTGTTTCTCATTGTAACATATCAAGGCCTATCACAGGATTATAGGCCCATTGCCGACCCAAATTGATTGCTAATTCACCAGCTTTGGATCGCTTGGCGGAAGGAGGCAAGCAAACGCAGAGTTCAATTTAATTGGGGAAAATGACGGAAATACCCTTTCATGAAGCACTCTCAGAGCAACAAATTCATTGCAAAATTTTGTTTATCCTTAAACCTTGATCCACCTCATAACATTTCTCATTAGGGGAAATGAATGGGGACGTGATTTTTTGTCCAGCTTATTAGAATAAAATCCCTTTCATGAGTATCAGTAGCAAATAAATCAAGATTTCCAAGGATCTGAACAAAAGTAAAAATAAAAAACCCCTCTAATAAACAGAAGCCACTTACCGACTGAGTTTAGCAAATAAACAACACTTGAGTACCATGTTCAGAAGCTACCAAGTTGATTCCAAAATGCGACGCTAATACTACCTTTTACAAGCAATGAATTTGGCTCTAATTGATATATTTTGCGGCTAATATAGTTATTGGGGAATGGGTATTTCAAATAATTATTTTCTTATAGATTATATTTTTATAGGCAAATATAAATGTCGTTGAATAAATAATTAGAGACACATAATATTTGTCGTTAAAAAGATTTAGCGGCAACAGTATTGGCAACACACAATTACGTGCCGCTATAAAACTACCGAGACACATAAATCACCTATCATGTCAAATAGACTTAGTCGCTAATTATCAAATTTCTTGTAGTGTAATTGTGTTGACGGCAAATAGCCGTTCACTTAACTTAATTTATTGGTTCTTTAAGTCGTTGAATGTTGTGGAGTCCCACTAAAAAAAATTATGCAGAGCAATTGCCTTAGCAATGAGTTAAGTAGGGATTTCTGTACAAGCTGGTTTACTCTTTGAGGAGAGGTTCTGGATGATGGATATGGTCTCCTAAGCTACTAGAATAACGCATAGCATAACCCAACTCTAAGCTGTCATGATTGCTCAACAGATGATTTCACTCAATCAGAAGATAATAATAAGTAAATAAATTGTTGATCGTATCCCTGCGATGGGCATTCTTACGACTACTGCCAGCTAACAACATGACACAATTTTCAACTTGAAGTCTGCCCTACGTTTGATGTGCTGTGTTTTGATCAAATTAGCATACAAACCGTAGATACATTATGCTGAAATAACATCGATCTGGTCGGGCAATTAATCGAACATCAAGCTTGCAATTAACTGTAAAAAGTTGTCTTATGATGCATCATTTATGTTGCTGATTTGTTTATACAAGAGAAGTTTGATCCCTAATTAAATGGATATGCTTTTAACAATAATATTTTTGTATGATGTTTTGACCAACGACTCACATCTCTTCATATTTACATCGTACGAGATTGATAACTCGACACATAAAATCATTTATTTACACCATGCAGAAAACAATGGCCCGAAAATAAACTCCGTAACTGGAAATTACGAATAAAATATGTATCACGATAAATAAGCGCGAGCCTCTTAGCTCGGTACATTCAACAACTAAAGTATATAAGACCTAATTAAAATTCATGGCTAGGAACGTAACTATATATATACTAAAATGCCCCTACAAATACCGGACTACCGGCATAACAAAACCCGACGAAGTACCCCTGGCATTCGCACACGTGGCCGTCGCCTCCTCACCACGGCCACCGCCGACGTAAGTAAGCTTCACGTCATGCATCGTAATCCCAGCGCAGGGGTTTGCCTTGCTGCACTCGAACCTCACGGCGACCTTGCTCTGCGACGTGCCACGTATGCTCTTGTACCTGATGTCACTGACCTTGATCCCGGAGGCTTGACGGGGACAGTTACGGCCTCCGGGGCAGTAGTTCTGGTCGATGAGGATTGGGTTCTTGACGCCGTCAAAGACGACGTGATGGAAAAGGACGTTCCTCACGAAGCCCAAGCTGCGGCGGGCCCACGTCTTGATCCGGAGGCCGTTAGTCGTCTCTGTGAAGTGGACTCTCTTGACGGTGACGTTCTGGACACCGGGCTCCTGTAACTTCCAGCCCAAGCTCCCGATGCTGATGCCGTGGCCCGGCCCACAAGCCACGCGCTCGATCCAGACGTTGCGGGCCCCCGGGCCCATGGAGATGCAGTCGTCGCCCGTGGAGATGGTGGAGTTGAGGACGGAGACGAGGGTGGACTTCTCGATGTGGATGCCGTCTGTGTTGGGGCTGGTTCCCGAGGCCGTGACGGTGATGTCGCGGAGGTTCACGTTTTGGCTGCCAGTGACGGCGATGTGGAACTTCTGGCTGTTCACGGAGGTTAAACCGTCGATTTCCACGTTCTTTGAGTTGGCGATGTGCAAATTCTGCATGAATAAAAAAAAAAAACACGTAGGATCCATAAGTCACGTAACAATTAATAGTGAAATTGATTAGGTTAAAAGTATAATGACCTAATGAGTAGTAGTGGGAAAGAAGCAAAACTTACCATGGCGCCGGTGGGGCAGTCTTTCCGGCCGTCGAGCTTGCAAGACCAAAGTCCGGTTCCTTGTCCGTCAAGTATCCCGCCGGAGATCCTAACGCCATCAACGTCGTGAAACAGAATCCAGTTCTTGGCGTTCCCGATGACGGAATAGTCGGACGGAGCCACGAGGGTTCCGTCTATGCGCACCAAGATGTCCTTGCTCCTACACGGCCCTTCGAACCCTAGGTTTCGGACGTGAAATCTTCCGTGCGGCACGTAGACGACGGACGGGCGCGGGTCGCTGCATGCTTTCCTCCATGCATCGGATAACGCGCTCGTAGAGTCTGTTTTGGGGTCCGCCCTAGCGCCGTAGTCCGTCACGTGGTACACCGACGGCTGCGAGGCGGAGGCGACCGATGCGGAGGCGAGGAAGAAGATAACAACGGCGACGAAGAGAGACGAGGACTTTACCATCGTTCGCAAGAATGAGTGAGACTAAAAAGGATGCGGAGATCGACGGCGGTAGCACGCACAAAAGTGTATTACCGAAGTTCATTACTGATAGCTAGGGGTTATATTTATAGCCAATAAATTACTGAAGTTCATTTAAGTATTAGGATAGATAATTACAAAACCAATAAGGACAAGGAATACAAATTATAGGCTTATCTTATCCTTAGAAAGAAGGAACGTAGATCGTAATATAGCCAATTACCGCAGTTACAATAGATAGTACTAATAACCACTAAGGGCAAGGAATTCACAATTTATTGTTTTGCCGAAGTAAATATTAGCTCTACTACTTGGATTATTTTGAGCTTTCTCTTTCTCATTATTTCTAGCTATTTTTTGCTTGAGATTTATCTTTGTCAAACGTATTCTCTCTCTTTCTTATTCTGTAATGATTAATTAGGGTTAGTAAACTGGATTTTTATTTGACGCCCTAACAATTTAAATTTATCGCCCTAATTTGTACTCAATAGACTATTTTGCCCCTTAACATAAAAACCAAGCTAAAATGGACATGCCCAAAATTGACGTGGTGTCTTTCCCCCTCTTTCTTCCTTGCCAAAAATCCACCGCCGCCCTGACTAGCCGACCATCGCGCTGCTCTTGACTAAGCCCATCGATCGACCTCTGATTCCGATTTGTCGGCACCAAACTAGCGAACCGAGGCAAGAAGAATAAAAGCCAAGGCGAGGAGGAAGAACGACGGCTGCCGTAGACCTCCCGCCCACCTCTGCTACACCACCTGCTTTAATTTGTCGCCGCCCAGCACTGTCGAAAGAAGGAAATAGAGGAGAATAGCCGCCTTAATTTCTTTTGCTGGGTATTACTCGTCAGGCGGGTTGAAATCCCGTCGCCGGCGACAGAGTCAGTGGACGGAGTAGAACCAGAGGTGGCCGGCGAGACAGAACCAGGCATTAGAGGTGGCCGGCGGGGCGGGATCGTTTCGTTGCTTCTTCGTCAGCAGAGCGACGCAGGTGCAGACCTTCCTGGCGGCGACGGGTGCACCAAGGTGAGTGGCGGTAGTGGGCGAGGTAGAACAGATTTTTTGTTTTCTTCTTCGTCGGCGCAGGAGCAGGAAGGCGGCGGCGGCGAGTCGGAGTAGAGCAAAGGTCACGTTGATTTAGGGCGATGGTATTGATTTTTTGATAATATGGCGTTGGTAGTTTGGATTAGGGGTAAATATGTATTTTCAGTTTAATTTAGGGCTTTGGTTTTTAAATTTTAGAGCGTTAATTAGTACTTCTCGTAGTAAAAGGCTGGTAGTTAAGGGAATTAATAAGTGATTCCCAAACATTCGGATGGCATCTCTAGTATATGGTAAACTCTTAGAAGCTAGCTTTTATTATTTTTTTTCTTCAGGATTTTGATATGTGAATTTTAACATGAGATTGAGTCAGGTTTGGATTAGCTTTGTTGCCAAATGAGAAAAATACAACTTACGTCGAGTTATCCTTTCAACCTTTCCTTTTATGAGATCATAATCCTTAATTCATCATTGCTTCTCGTCTATTATTCCCATCTTCTCTCTACTTTCAAAAATAGTGTCCTTCCACATCCAGAGTCCAACAAAGGCAACAATCAGCGTACTCCATGGAGACGTGATAGCTGCCACCATATTCATCTTATCTGACTCTCTTGCTGTTGCAACTTCCAGCCCCATCCTTGGAACTCTAGCCCTGCACCTGCAACTTTGCCAACCCAAAGTGGAACAAACTAAGCATTCCTGACTAGGCACCTCTATGCTGAAGTGACTTCTAATAAAAAACTTCGTTGAAGATCCTTCTTCTTTATCCTCTCACTTGTCGTCATTTTCACTGGTTAGTGAAGTCTATTAACAATCCTCATAGTTTCATCATTTGTTGTTGGTTGCCTATCCCCCCCCCCCCCCAAAACAATAGGTTTTGAATAATGCTTGTTAATATCCTATTCATTTAGTTTATCTTACAGAGTGATCTTTAAAATATATGATATTATATGTAGATTAATTGAGTTTAATTAGTTGAAAATACAGATAATAGGTAGATCATTTAAAAAAAATAGATATTAGGTAAATTAATTGAATTTAATTAGTTGACTGATGAAGTAATGCACTTGTTTAAAGTAAGATTGAGTGAAAATATGTATTAAAATAAATAAAAATATAAAAATTAAAACAAATATTGAGGAAAATGGAGATAAAAAGGAACAAAGCGAGATATTGCGAAAATAATATCCATAGCCCATCTGATAATATTGTGAGTCAGGTATTATCCGTCCAACACGAGTCAGGTCTGATAATATATGTTAAAAACCGAACAGGTAAAATTAGGGTTATCAAATTTGGCTGAGTCGCCGACTAGGTCGCTCTCTTTAAGACGTTCGTGACACTGCCTCGTAATGCGCACATCAGACTATCAGTCGGTTGCCTCCAGGATAAAAACATTCATTCTAATTTGTTGCTCGTCGGTTTGGTGCGAAAATCGGAGCTCTATAAATTCACTCTCTCTCGTGTTTTTGCTCTTTTGAGATGTGTTTAGGGATCTGGGGCGTCTGCTATTTATAGGAGCAGAAAACCCATAATATTCCCTCTTTCTTTGGGAATAAGTCACATTTTAATTAGGGAGATAATTACTCTCATAATTAAAATATAATCTATTAAGATAATTATTCCTAATTATCTCCATAATATTTCTTTTATTAATTATCCATCTTATTTTCGTATTATGAGAAAAATACTGGATAATTAATTAGGAGTTTCCCTTATAGCTTTTCAAAGCTATTCATACCAACAATATAACCGTTAAAGTCGCCATGACTATTATGGGGTGAGGGTTGTGAGAAGTGTTTGGGAAGGAAATGTTTCTTTTTGGGGTAATCAAAAGCCGGAATAAAAGACTTCTCATGTTTTACTTGGTATTCTGATGTTATTATCTTTGCAGCGACTTCAGGTATTTAGATACATATGAAAGCTGCAAAGGCAATGGCTTCACTTAATTAATATTTGATCGTCTCTGTCCATCTTATTTTGAAATCTGTGAGAGGAAGATGCAGTACTGGAAATAAGGTACAATAAATGAACTTGAATTAGAACACTACTCCACCCTTTGTACAAGTAAAAACAGGAAATGATGCAGTTGACTTAGGGATTTCCTACAATAACTTGAAGTAAGGTAACTTGAATTTTTTTACCTGCTATAGCAGGTTTCACAGGTCGCATTACGTAAAATATAATAGGTATTACGTAACGGTTACGTAACATATGGTAATCTTACGTAACAGTTGTAAAAGATCATTACGGAAGTCTTACGTAATAGAATGTGGCTTTACGTAATGAGTATTAATCTCGCGTTACGTAAAATGCTAAGTCATTACGGAAGCATTACGTAACCTACTGATTTAACTTTTACGTAAGAAATAACTGTCGTTCCGTAACCTTTACGTAATGGAAGGTCTTTTTACGTAATGAGTATTAACCTCGTGTTACGTAAAATGTTAAGTCATTACGTAAGCTTTACGTAATGAATGTGTATTTTACGTAACAGTTGTAAAATGTCATTGCGGAAGCCTTACGTAATTGAAGGTCTCTTTACGTAATGAGTATTAATGTCGTGTTACGTAAAAAGCTAAGTGATTACGGAAGCTTTACGTAACGCTTTCGATTTCACTGTTACGTAAGAAATAAGTATCGTTCCGTAACCTTTACGTAATGGAAGGTCTCTTTACGTAATGAGTATTAATCTCACGTTACGTAAAGTGCTAAGTTATTACGGAAGCCTTTCGTAACGCTTCTACTTTAATCAGAATTAAAATAAGGAAAGCATAAAATAAGGGAAAACATATAAATATGAAAAGGAAAGGAAAAAAACAAGAAAGGTAACTTGCTTTGTGGCCACCGGCAACCCATGTTGCCATTGATTTTTTTTACTTATTTTTTATTTTTTATTTCTTTAATCAATGGTTTAAAATAAATTTGATCGATTTTAACGGTTTAGATCTATACAAGTTACCTAACTTAAAATTATACCCAAGTTACTGTAGGAGATCCCGTTGACTTAATTATCAGAACTTGGGCATTTCAGCTAAAAAGTATCAGATTGAGAATCATGCCTGCAAGGCTGCAACTCTGTCATGCATCCATGGCTTCCTGATGTTGATTTGCTTCTAGAAAATGAACTTGATTGGAACTCAGACTCCATCCTATGTACAAGTAATAAGAGGAGAGGCACTTGACTGATCATATATCAGAACGTGAACATTTCAACTCAAATGTCATCCATGGCTTCCTCGTCTGGAGTTGCTACGCCGAGGCAGATAAGTCCCCATCGCTAAGATCCCTAATAGCGGAGGCAGAATTCATAAGCTAACGAATCCGTCTGAGTTCAAATCCTAGCTACAACATTAAAATTGGAAGAAAGAAAGAAAGAGAAGAAGCTCCTTACTTTCTGGAATACTTCGTGGGGGATGAGTGGCGGATTCGGACCCAGAAGACTGAAGCAACAGGGTAGCCAGCAATGCAACAATGAATAGGAGAACTATGTTCTTCAAAGGAGTTGCCATTATATATATAAGTATTTTATTTGGTGTCTTAAATAATTAATCCCAACTTATTCACTAATTATCTGTGTATTAATATTCGCGATATCAGCCGTTATTATCCATTTCGATCTCACAATCGAAAAGGAAAAATAAAGCAAATATATATAGCTAGATACAGAAATATACTTAAATGACTTACAAGTGGCAGTAAATCGAAAATTGGCTGGCAGACCAATTCATCGACACAACCACTTCGTATATCGATATATGTTAATATCACTATCTAAATAACAAACCACGATGCAAATTGGCCCAACTTTAACTTTTGAGATCATATATAGTGTTGACTCGCCACTGGCTAGGCTGATTATTTTGTTATGTACGTTTCAAAGATTTATATAATCAAAGGACTAATCATTCTTCTTCTTTCCTACCTTGTCGTGGAAAAT